ATTAGCCTATGTTTCCCGGAGGCATTGATATAAATATTAGGAGGGCCCTCAGGATTATCTAACTACTGTAGTGGCAGTTTTATTACAGGAAAGGGATTATAAACAAAAATAAAATGCTTCGCTGGGGCGCAGCTTGATACGACCGCAGAGGTCGAACCCTGAACAGTTGGGGCAAGTATGGACACAACATTCAAGCTTGATACAGCTCTGAATTTGGATTGTTATTAAATATTTGACACAGCATAGGTTTCTGACACAGAAAGAATGTGGTCTAAGAACTTGAATTTTTTTAATTTACCTATTATGGTCCAATGTCCAAAATCAAAATACATGGTTAGATTCAGCATATCAAAGAACCCCATATATTCAATTTTTGTTAAAATCAAACAAAGTTTAATTTTGGACCCCAACTTGGACAAACTTGAAAACTGGGCCCATAATCAAAAATCTAAACACATGTTTAGATTCAGCATATCAAAGAACCCCAAGAATTCAATTTTTGCTAAAATCAAACTAAGTTTAATTTTGGACCCTTTGGACCTTAATGTAGACCAATTTAAAAAACGGGACTTAAAATTAAAAATCTAAATACACGGTTAGATTTGGAATATCAAAGAACCCCAATAATTCAATTTTTGATGAAATCAAACAAAGTTTAATTTTGGACCCTTTTGACCTTCAATATGAACCAATTTGATAGCGGAGCCCACAAATAAAAATTCTAAATTCATGGTTAGATTCAGCATATCAAAGAACCTCATATATTCAATTTTTGTTGAAATCAAACAAAGTTTAATTTTGGACCCCAATTTGGACCAACTTGAAAACTGGGCCCATAATCAAAAATCTAAATACATGTTTAGATTCAGCATATCAAAGAACCCCATTTATTCAATTTTTGTTGAAATCAAACAAAGTTTAAATACTGGACCCTATCTTGGACCAACTTGAAAACTGGGCCCATAATCAAAAATCTAAACACATGTTTAGATTCAGCAAATCAAAGAACCCCAAGAATTCAATTTTTGTTAAAATCAAACTAAGTTTAATTTTGGACCCTTTGGACCTCAATGTAGACCAATTTAAAAAACAGGACCCAAAATTAAAAACCTAAATACACGGTTAGATTTGGAATATCAAAGAACCCCAATAATTCAATTTTAGATGAAATCAAACAAAGTTTAATTTTGGACCCTTTTGACCTCAATATGAACCAATTAGATAACGGGGTCCACAAATAAAAAATCTAAATACATGGTTAGATTCAGCATATCAAAGAACCCCATATATTCAATTTTTGTTGAAATCAAACAAAGTTTAATTTTGGACCCCAATTTGGACCAACTTGAAAACTGGGCCAAAAATCAAAAATCTAAATACATGTTTAGATTCAGCATATCAAAGAACCTCATATATTCAATTTTTGCTAAAATCAAACAAAGTTTAATTTTGGACCCTTTGGACATTAATGTAGACCAATTTGAAAACTGGACCCAAAATTAAAAATCTAAATACACTGTTAGATTCGGCATAACAAATAAATAAATGTGATCAAAGATTTTACAAATCTAATGTGCCATACTGTGCAATTAAAGATTACTTCTTGAAATTTTTCAATATTTGAAATTTGAAAAAAAAATAATATTTGAAGAATAATTCTTTTTAATTTCTGAAATCTGAAATGAGAAAAAATTGGCCCCCCACAATTTCTTTTTATCCCCCCCCCCCCCCCCCCTCTTTTTCCCCCCCAAAAATTCTTTCCCTCAAGATATGGTCATAATCTCAATTCAAATTTCCAATGGAGTTGGCAACCATAATTACCCATTTAAATTTACCATAGTGCTAACTTAATCTAATTTATAATAGAATTAATAAAAATATAGTGTCAAATCTTTCATATGGATTTTTTTGTAAAAAAAAAAGATGAAAACATTTGCAGATATTTTTACTGGTCTTCCTTTATAAATATGCATTTCTTTAAACATCATGAACATAATTAAAAAGCAGTGTAAGGGAAGTAACCAAAACGTTGTATTTGGATTACCTCCCTTACACTGTTTAAGATTATCTTTATTGTTCATTAACCATTACTTTATACATAATTTAAAAGCAGTGTAAGGGAGATAATTTCAATGATGTATTTGATTTATCTCCCTTACACTGCTTTAAATTATGTTTTGTACTAAAGTATTTGTCCATTAACCAGGACAACCTTGTTTTTCCCCCTTTTTTGCCCCTAATTCCTAAACGGTTTGAGCCATAACCCCCCAAAGCAAATCCTAACCATCCCTTTGTGGTATGGAAACTTGTAGTATAATTTCAGAGAGATCCATACACCGTTCCACAGTTATTGTCTGGAAACTAGAAAATGCTCATTTTTGGCCCCTTTTTGGCCCCTAATTCCTTAACTGTTGGTACCATAACCCCCAAAATCAATCCCAACCTTCCTTTTGTGGTATTTAACCTTATGGTCAAATTTCAAAAAGATCCATTCACTTAAACTAAAGTTAGAGTGCGAAAACCAATATGTATTCGGACGACGACGCCGGACGACGCCGACGACGACGCCAACGTCATACCAATATACGACCACAAAATTTTTTTGCGGTCGTATAACAAGTGATCACAAGTGCAAAATGGCGATTAAGAAATCCGATTTCAAACATTGAGTCAATGAAAAGACCGAAATTACTTCTGTAAAAAAATAAAATTTGTCCTAAATCCCAATTACTCGTTTAGGACAAATAGTTTCATCTTAGGACATGACTGGCAAATATGACCGTTTCCGGACCCTTGGTCGTTATGATAAAGCACATTAAAATGTAGAAAGTCTTATAACAACAACACTTTAAGGACTGCTGCAGAAAATTTATTGATCGACATGTTTCGGTGCCCTAGGCACCGTCATTACATTGCGACGTAATTTATGCATACCCAATTTTGTACTTCAGGAGCAATTTTCTGTATTGTTTTTAGCCTGATGACGGTGCCCTAGGCACCGCAACATGTTGATCAATATATTTTCTGCAGCAGTTCCTAAAGTGTTGTTGTTATAAGACTTTCTACATTTTCATATTTAAGACTAAAAAAAATATATATAAGAATATGAGGAATAAAAAGGTTAAAATTTGGGGACCTTCAATTTAACCCCTTAGCTAGAGATGGGTTACACATAAACTAGGTGTGTTCAGCTATCAAAATGAAAAGAATTTCGACACTAAAAGTGAAACAAGGGTAAACCATTTGGTTGACTGATTTGATGCACAAAAACTCATTCTTCAACATGTAAAAACAATGATTAGCATATTTTTTAACCTACAAGATGAAATCTAACAGACCTAGAAAAATCCAATTGCATGTGTTCGCCACATGTATCTATTTATATCTATATTTATGTCTATATCAGGTTATATGACCGTCGGCAGTCTTCAGAGCGGCAGTTTTCAGAGGTCACTTTGACGGTTAAATAGATGGCGTCTCGACTAAAATACACACAAACGCTATCAAGTCCATGCATATTAAATGTTTATTTTATACTTTTATAATTTGGATATAAGTTTAAGTATGTTATAAATCAAATATGAGAATTGGAGTCAAATCAGTGAACTTGAACTTGACAGCTAATGCCCCTTTAACAGTGCTAAAAAGAATGTGTCCATAGTACATGGATGCCCCACTCGCACTATCATTTTCTATGTTCAGTGGACCGTGAAACGGGTACAAGTCAAATCGGCACCTGGTCAATTCGGCACTTATAGAAAAAGTCAAATCGACACCTGCATAAAAAGGCATCTAGTCAAATCGGCATCTTTTTAAAGTCATTTTGGCATTTGCCTAGTCAATTTGGCACCAAACATTATTTTTAGTGTTAAAAAAAAGATACATTTTGCACATCGTTAAGAAATAAGCACACGTAATTAAGCAGTGAAAAAAAAAATATAATAAAAATAATCAGTTGGTTTGCTGTTTGAAGTTTTCTCCATATCTAAGTAATAATGTTTTGATTGGTTATCAATTTAAAAACTTATGAACTTACCTAAATTAAAAACAATAACCTTTTGTTGTTTTAACCATTCTCAGGTATTTTTTGATGACATTACCCAAATTGTTGTTTAATCCGTGCACAGATGAGGATAAAAACAAATTTTATCATTGTTATTCAAGTTGTTTTTTTCCTGCATTTCCTGTCTACTATTATAACCCCCCCTTTTTTTTTACGATCAATGCTTTTGAATGGGCCATGGGGACATATGGTTGGAACCCCCCCTTTTTTATCCTAGGTTGGGAATCCCCTTTTAAAAATATGAAATCAACCCGGAGTCTTCAATAGTTTACTTGCAAATCATAATGATAATCATGGGTGCCGAAATAACCAGGTCCCGATATGACTAGATGCCGAATTGACTATACCCGGTGCCGACTTGACTAGATGCCGATTTAACCAAGTGCCGGAGTGACTAGAATTCCGTGAAAATGGGGTCAAAACTCTAATTTGACATTAAAATTAGAAAGATCATATCATAGGGAACATGTGTACTAAGTTTCAAGTTGATTGGACTTCAACTTCATCAAAAACTACCTTGACCAAAAACTTTAACCTGAAGCGGGACAGACAGACGGACAGACGGACAATGCAGACCAAAAAACATAGGTGGGGCATAAAAATCAGGGTAAGAGTTAATGAAAATATACTAATTAATTTTAAATGGAAAAAGAAATTAAAAATTGTAATTTATCATTTTAATCAATTCCTGATTCCAATAATAATGAAGACAACCATTTATGAAGATCTTCAGCAACCTAACAAATATAGATGACGAAAAGTGTTTATTTTTATACTTATTCATTTAAGTTACTGTTAGTCCTGATCACTGATGACTTCCTTAGGTATGTTTATACAAGCATCATTGACTTGGATATTACAATGTTATACATTAACATTATTTAATCACTTAGGATTATGTCACCAACAAAATGTGCTTTCTCTGAAATCGACTTACCAACAATGTAATTAATGTCAACCATTTTTGTTTTCAATAACTAATAGTGCATCCAGTTCATAAATCTTCATTTCTATCCTTTTACAATTTCCATAGTATCTTTACCAACCCTAACTCAAATGAATTATTCCTTAATGACTGATGCTGTTCTTTGTTTATTGTTTATTAGAGACAGGAAGCACTACGTTCTAAATTTAACCTAGTTTGTTGTGACAAAGGAAACCACCTTTTAACATTGTTCTCACTGATTGAAAGATCAAATTTAAATATAGTAAACAAATAGTTATGAAATGCCCTGGTGAACAATAACCTACAATGTGGGGGTTGTTGTTTGGACGGTTACTGACCATTTGGGTGGATCAATGACTCATCTCACTGAATCAGCTGATTAATCATTTTTATGATTAGGGAATAGGGTTTAATCTAGATTTATCATTCTCTGATTGTCAAACCTCATAACTTGGTTTTGATAGTGTTTCAAGAATGAAACAGTAGATAAACTTTCATGATCTTTTGTTCTAAATTAAATAACGACCTAAAATGTATGACAATAGTCGGTATAAACATCCAGTGACACACTTGTCTCGACCAATCAAATGTCTCGAAAGAGATGAACTCTGCTCGGTCATGTCTAAAACTTGTTAATTTTAAAAATAAATTTCTGCAAGACAACAAAGAAAACCTAGAAAAAATCATAGAAAATTGTAAATGAGCTTTTCTGTATTCCTCTCCACAACATCACATTAAGAAACAGTACGCGATCTAAGAATAACTATATTTTTTCGCTTAATATCATTGTTTCTTCACAAAACAAAAACGCCATGTTTTGAAAACGCACAATGGACCCGGTGAAACTTACATTCCTCATGGGAAATCGACAACAGTGTTGACAGAAAACTTTTAAAAAATTGACAAAATAAGTCACAAAGTATCGAAAAAGGCCTCTATCTAATTCATACTTACATGTAATCTGGCTTTCTGAACTGTGATTGATGGGTAGACATGTGCGCTTCAGTGTCCCGCCATGACAAATAAAGATTACTTGCCTCGATATGGAAATGAATATGAGATTGAATTAATTACGATCAATGCGCCCTCTACTAACACAACGAGCACCTTGCTGACGTGAAGTAACTTGACCAGTGATCACTTTGTTTCCTCGGGAGGACCTTTAATAGAATTTAGAGCGAAAATCGTAAAACAAGTCCTTGCAAATTTTCAGTGATTTGTTTTACATAATCGTGAAATCTATTCTTTTATGTAACACGTTAAATCTTGATTGATTGATATGTTTGCTGTAATATTATGTCGAGCAACAAATATTAAAATCTCGAAAACTCATGAAGAAGACACAGAGGCTTTATATAGAAGAACTATTTGGTTTCTCTGGAAGATCCATGGACATGAATCTCAAGTGAAATCCAGGCTGACTTTGCATGACTTCTTGTGGCCAAAAATGTTTTGCAGTGCTTGTAAACTGGGACCAATATCATAGGCGGATCCAGGGGGGCTGGGGCCCGCCCCCCCTCTTGTGCAAAAAAAATTTGGTTGATTATATAGGGAATCACTGAAGCATGACTGGAGCGGCCCCCTTGGTCAGTCAGTGGGCCCCCCCTTACAAAAAGTTCTGGATCCGCCACTGAATATATATATATAAAATGTACTAATTAATTATAAAAGTCCCAGATTGAAATTATACTACACGGCGCGCTGTCTCTTGGCTGAATTATAATCTTTTCTACATCAGTGCTTGCGACTTACATAAAATAATCCATAAAATAATTTGATTTTGATTTATATTTGTTTTCCTGCTTATAATTGACTCAGTCCAGTGGGTTTGCAATATGCTTATACCGGGCTGGATACGATCCGATATATCATAACGAACTGTTCTTGGAGGGGGGGGGGGTCTGATCCCGGATCACGCTTATTGTTTTGTCAGAATCCCGTATCCCGCTTATCATTGTAATAATAGCGCTTGTAATTTCACGTGTCCCGCCTGACATCGTTTATGTTTTTTACGCAAAAAAATTTGACTTTCACGTGTCACACTTACAAAAAAATCGGCCAATCCCGCATCACGCTTAGACCTCTATGAGACCCACTTCTAGCAAATCTGACAATTTTTTAACTGAGTTTTGATGAACCATAGAAAACGAATTGTTTTTTTTTAAAACAAAACGACAGTCCGAGTTTTTTTTATGTGCTATAAGTGTTTCTCGTTTTTTAAATAGATTAGACCGTTGGTTTCCCTGTTTGAATGGTTTTACACTAGTCATTTTTGGGACCCTTTATAGCTTGCTGTTCGGTGTGAGCCAATGCTCCGTGTTGAAGGCCGTACTTTGACCTATAATGGTTTACTTTTATAAATTTTGACTTGGATGGAGAGTTGTCTCATTGGCACTCATACCACATCTTCCTATATCTATTTGAATTTCCGGAAAGTTAATACGGTGTAACATGAAATGTTGTAAACAAGAACACCAGAAACGACAGAACTCTAGACCTGTTGTGTATGACCCATCATTTGTCAATAGAGTAGAAACATTACAACCAATTGGAGCGAGCGATCACGACATTGTTTACAGTGAAATAAACTTAGCCCTGTCGCAAAATAAACAACAGGCTCATATAAAGTACTAAACTACAAAAAGGCAAATTGGGACCATATAAAAAAAGACCTCACTGAAACCTACAAACAGCTAACAGATCAAAATGAAATGATTCTCGATGAACTTTGGAAAGCTTTCAAAACCAACACCCAAAAATGTATTGCTAAGCATATTCCAAGAAAAGGGATTGGTAAAAAATCAAAACTACCTTGGGTAAATAACCAACTAAAAAGGCTGATCAACAAGAAAAACAAACTATATAAAAAGAAAAAGGAAAATCCCAAGTATAAAAAACAATACCAAGAAATTAAAACCAAGTTCCAGAAAGAAATGAGAAACTCGGCAATATATAGAAAATATGATTTTTGCTATTGAAATAAAGTAGCCAGATCAACCATGCTTCAAAAATACACCTAAAAACTATATTCTTACTTTAAAAGCCAGAAAAATGAAAACACCGACATAGCTCCTCTGCGAAGTGAAGGTACACTGCACTAGTACTCAAGTCCATCTGAAAAAGCAAACATACTTACCTTTACTAAATTCTTCCATAGATACAAAGATTGAGTTTGCAAGTTTGGCTGTACCTGTAAAACACTTATTTCAGACGGAATAGCACATCCTACATTTTACGGTGATAGTCTTTACAGAGCCCGGAAATTTATATACGATCCGGGTAAACTTATGATATCAATCCTTTAAATAAACTTATTCTAAAAGGTTACCAATTCAACACTGTAATTAGATCTTTAAATATTGTTTTTATTGGTATAAATATTGATTTTGTTAACAGTAAATTAAAATCATACTAAATAGTTTTGTTATACGCATATGCACTTTAACGGTACTACAATCTCACGGTTGATACCTTCATTTTGGCATTGCACACGGTCGTGTTTTTCTCTGACTGCATGTTAATGACGTTTTTACACTAAATCCATTGGATGTTGAATGTGTACTGATTGCTGTTTTAGTCTTAGATACATGAATTTGTTTAATAGTTATTATTGGCTTTGAACTAGCTGTCAGTAACTGCCAGTATTCCCAGATCTGTACTTAGTGTCTTTTTTGTTGTTAGGGATGAGGGATAGACAAATAACCTGCCACGTCCGGTCCGTGTTTATGTTTGATGTTTTTTCTGCTTTGTGTCGATCTGATGAGTTAAGCCTATTTCAACTTATTTTTATAGTTTGTTCTTTTGTTGTGCTGTTACACCACTATCCCAGGTTAGGGGGAGGGTTGAGCACTCACAAACATGTTTAACCCCGCCACACTCTTGATGTGCCTGTCCCTAGTCAGGAGCCTGTAGTTCAGTGGTTGTCGTTGGTTCATGTCTGTCATATTTGTTTTTCGTAAATTGTTTTGTTATAAATTAGGCCGTTAGTTTTCTCGATTGAATTGTTTCATATTTTTCATGTCGGGGCCTTTTATAGCCGACTATATGGTATGGGTTTTTCTCATTGTTTAAGGCCGTACGGTTGCCTATAATTGCTTACATCCACTTTATTTGAACTTTGGTGGATAGTTGTCTCATTGGCAATCATACATCAACTCCTTATTTTTATATTACTGACAAACAATTTCAATCTGCTTTCACATCTGAAGCAAACACTAACATCCCAGATAAAGGTCCTAGTATACATCCCAAAATGGAACCCATTACAACATCTAGGGATGGTGTTTACAAACTAATCAAAACCTAAACCATAATAAAGCTACTGGTCCTGACACCATCGCAGGCAGAGTACTAAAACAAAACATTGAAATATTTACAGACATAATTTTAGTTTCTTGTGTATAATTTGGAGTTTAGTATGACGTCCATTATCACTGAACTAGTATACATATTTGTTTAGGGGCCAGCTGAAGGACGCCTCCGGGTGCGGGAGTTTCTCGCTGCATTGAAGACCCATTGGTGGCCTTCGGCTGTTGTCTGCTCTATGATCGGGTTGTTGTCTCTTTGACACATTCCCCATTTCCATTCTCAATTTTATAGATATAAGAAGATGTGGTATGAGTGCCAATGAGACAACTCTCCATCCAAGTCAAAATTATAAAAGTAAACCATTATAGGTCAAAGTACGGTCTTCAACACGGAGCCTTGGCTCACACCGAACAGTAAGCTATAAAGGGCCCCAAAAATTACTAGTGTAAAACCATTCAAACGGGAAAACCAACGGTCTAATCTATATAAAAAAAACGAGAAACGAGAAACACTTATGAACCACATCAACAAACGACAACTACTGAACATCAGACATACTCACTTTAATATTTACTAGATCATTACAAACAGGCAAAGTAACATCTGACTGGAACCATGGAAACATCACACCTGTATTCAAAAATGGGATAAACACAACACAGGCAACTACAGAGTCTGACCTATATCCTTCACATGCATATATATAGCTCGCAAATTACTCGAACATATTTTTGCAAGCAGCATGATGCAACATCTAGAAACCAATAACACACTATATGAATTACAACATGGATTTAGGGCAAAACGATCATGTGAGTCCCAAGTTATCTCTCTGATACATGAATTATCACTAAACAATGACAAGAAAATACAAACAGATCCCATGAATTTTGCTAAAGCTTTTGACAAGGTACCACACAAAAGATTACTATACAAAATGAAATACTTTGGCATAAACTGGGTTGAATACTGTCAAACAGTACTTTTCGAGTCACTTCAGGTGTCCCACGGGGTTTAGTGCTAGGACCCATACCATTCCTAAATTACATAAATGACATTCCAGAATACATCCAACATAGCAAAATCAGACTCTTCGCAGATGTCAGTTATCGACAAATTAAATCTCAAAACGACTGCCTCAAGCTTCAAGAAGATCTAGAAGCTGCCATACAATGGGAACAAGACTGGCTTATGTCTTTCCACCAG